TTTACCTGTTGGCGAGAGCTCGTAGTCCGTTAAGCAGGACCTTTCATTGTATTAAGCCTCGGTCCTGGAGATGAGGATACGGATAATTGCATGCTCTTCTTCCATTAACCTTTCTTGATTTATGTTGATTCTTGGTTGACGAGTTGGTGTTCATTAGAGATGCGAACAAAAGTTCCTCCTTAATTGTCTAGTGGCATGGCGGAGAGTTGTTCTTCTTTGTTTGTCAATGATTCACCAGCTATGAGACACCATCGATAGACCTCCATTGATTACTAATGTTTGTTGATACGAGGATGCATGCCATGATGTAGTGGCATTTGTCAACCTAGTCCTTGTCGTCGATGTGCGAGTTTGTCTTTTCGAGGGTGATGAAAGCAGGCATATTCTGGCTAATACGAGGTGGGTTGCATCTTGCTTCTCATCAGCCTCCTAGCTTGAGTTTTGGAAAGGCTCAATGCTAGGTTGCCTTTGACGTTACTTGTGGCCTGTTGATTTGTTCGTCCACTTCCTATGAGTGAGTGCTTTTTATGACACTCATCTTTTTCCTTTTTGTTCCATTACTGAAGTGTCGGTTTGGTTTTGGGTTTGCAAGTTTATACCAAACCATGAACATGCAAACCTTTTATTGATTTTTCCTACAAAATGTTAGTGGACACATACCCAAGGGAATACAATGAATTTGAAACATGAGTTGTTGTCCATAACTTTTGTAATTTTCCTCTATGCTAATGAAAGGATGGAATTAGAATTACTTTAGCATAGATTTTGTTTATTAGCAAATTTTATGTGTTTGCTGCATTCTAGCATGGTTCAAGGTAAAGATAACTTGCAACAAAAGATAAGTGAATAAATCTTGATACTCACAGTTCTTCCATCCATGAAGGATGGGCTATGTCTTCTTTGCGCAAAGTTATTTGGAGTTCATCACATGTCTTGATTCATCTTTGATGTGAATTTATCTCTTGACTTACCTAGATTGAATTTGAGAGTTTTTTGCAGGGGTTAGTTCAACAAAATATCTAGTGTCTACACAAGCCACATTTAGTTCAATAACCAAACTATACTCCATGTCTAATTCGATTAAGGAAGGCATTTTAACCTAAGCACCATGCTTAATTTAAAAGCCAATGAAAGTATGTCGAGTACTTTCAAACCAAAACTTACTATGTCAAACAAAGATAGCATGAAAGCACTATAGAGATTTATTCAAATAGAGATGAAAGAGCATGATCATGGTGAGAGATTTTTTTTACACTTGGACGTTCATGTGTCCATATATATTTTTTCCTTTTAAATGCAAACGATATAAATGTGTGTAAGGAACTAAACATGTTGTGGATTGGATATGAGAAAAGTTAAACTAAACGTAGTGGATGCATTGATTATTTAAAGTAAACATGCATTGGAATGCAAATTGTTAAAAGATAACTACTCATCAAGTTTAAAGTCCATGAGCAAGACTATCTCACCTTTCTTGATCATACTTACCATGACTCACATGATGGAATTTGTGAGTAGTGCAGCGTCTATTTCGTCACTTGAGATATGATTTGAATTCTTGTGACATCGACCTTTTATTCCAATCTACACATGGTTAGAATAATATATATATCTATACAAACCTATGAGATGGCAGGGTTCCAGTGTTGATGGATCTTGAATATTTAGGCACCCTAGGGTTTTTTAATATTTCTTCTTTTCTTGTGGAAGCTCACCGGAAGGTAGAAACGATATCTGTTGTCCTATCTTATTGCACAATTCAATAGAACAGGGGTAATCCTACTAAAGCTAGTGGTATGTTAATGATCTAAATCTTTACGCCAATTGTTTCTCCGGCAAGCACACATAATACCATTGTAGCATTTTACCGGGAGTATTCCAAGTATCGTTATTTATATTTTACCACAGGAAAACAATGGAGTAAAGATTTATTGGATAACAAAGGAATGTCTACTAATCAACATACCAGCATAGCTAAAGCAGGGGTGAATGTAATGATAGGAATAAAGCATAATGATACTCAGGGGATAGATCACTAAGATAATATAAACTAGTCAACTCGGGAGAACAACGGGTGAGGTAGATTCCTATGACATTCTTATTACATGGTCAAAGTATATATACATCCAACTATAAATAAAACTAACTCTACTCTTGTGTACTTCGGGACATCACTTAGACAGTAGAGCATCGTAAAAGGATAACTCTACTGACGCGACTACGGTCCTACAATTTAAGAACCGCAAAAGGATAGACTCCTTCTTGAATTGTTTTCCATAGGTTTCGCGAGCCAAATCTCTTTCTAATGTTGGTTTGCATGTTTGGAGAGTATGACGGTGGTCCTAGGGGCTGCTTTCTAGATAAATCCTCCTGCATTCACATATTCAACAAAGCTCCTGAAATTTATTAGTTTAAACCCATATTCCTATGTTTGGTGATGAAATTAAGTACATATGCAGGATATGTTGACGGTTTATGATTGATGTTAACGACCGTCAATAGTGTTCTTCTTCTTTTTCTTTTTTTTTCTTATGTGTCGATGTTAAATGTTCTTTGGCACGCTTCTAGTTATCTTTTGCTTTATATCATTTTTATTTTTTCAGTATAGCTTTGTACGTAGTGGTGTGGTAGTCTAGTTTTGTTTTTTTTTGCATCAACAGGTGCCTTTTTTGTTATTTTGATTAGACCATAACCCAACACTGCATTTTGGTTTGGTTGACCCAATCACCAGAAAACAGTTTGGCTGGGTTGAATGGATTAATCTTTTTGGGGTGAACCAAAGGTGACCCACCTGGAAATGTCAAAGGAAAATACTTAGTTTGCTCTTTTGTTGCTATTTTTTCCGTCAAGTGTCCTGGTAGCTCAATGTCTTTGTACTTATTTATTCATTTATGAATTCGTTTCATTTTTTTATAGGAAAATTGTTCTGGTGCTATTCTTGAAAACGAAGTTGTCTCCATGTTTGCTTTTGAGAATCTCGGAGGCAATCCAGTTCTGAAAGAGAAACAGAAGATGTCATGCTAGGCTTGTGAGGAAAGATTTGAACACCCCAAGCAAACATCAAAATAAAGCTAGGTGAAGAGCGGAAGGTCTCGGAACAACTCCGCATGCGAGGCTCCCCTGTAGTTAGGGCGCCATCTCCGTCTTGCTAGGCTTGTGAGGCAAAGTCGTGGGCCTTCGTTTGTTCCCAAGTACAGGTATGCTTTGAATTCAGTCAATCAAACTGTTTATCTGTCAACGCCAAAATGGCCGACGCGACCAAAGGTCGATATCATATACCGGCCGGGATGTGGTACGGCGGGCGCCTCGTGTCCTAGCAGTATCCACGATCTGCGCCAAGATGTTGAATCTATGACCGCCATCGTGTCCTAACACTGCACTCCCGATCTTCTTTTCCATCTTGGGGATGGATAGTCAACATGTTTCGACACCAAGTTTTCCCATGTGCTTAAGATGGGATCGAAAACGAGCTAAGGATGATGACTTCTACCCGCCTAGTTAATTGTCCTCTCATGATAAAAGGAGAGGACACTGGGCCTATGTAACAATATCGCTTTCAGACGAACCCCCCGCCGAGACCTAGGAGCTCTCTGCTTGTAACCCCTTTTTGGCCTTATGGGATGATTGAAGAATTTTTATCGAAGGATTTTGGTTCCAATCAATATTTTAAACTTTTTTGAGTGAATGGTTTAGTTTATTGGAAAAAAGTTGAGACTTTTGTGTAGTTTGTTTGAACTTGTCATGATGATTTTTAATATCGAAGGATTTTGGTTCCAACTAATATTTTAAACTTTTGTTTAGTTTATTAAGTTGAGACTTTTGTGTAGTTTGTTTGAACTTGTCAACATATATTATTATATATCTCAAGGGGATAAATCAGCCAATTTCTCTGGACTGTGACCATGTTTGTTTTTTTATTAGCTTTTGGAGTATTCTTTTTTTTTCAGATGATTGGACTTTTTTTTGTCTGCTATGTTTTGTTTCAATTCAGATTTGAGATAGTGTTTCCTGTTCTCACCCTGTTTTGCATTTGTCTGTGTTTGTCGGCATTTTTTTGAAATAACTGGTTGTTTTGAAGGGACAAAACAACTTAATATTGAGCCTACAGAATTATGGTTGTTGTGTTGCCTTGAAATAACAGGTTGTTTTGAAGGGACAAAACAACTGAACATTGGTTGTACAGAATTCGGTTGTTTGGTTTCTTTCAAATAACCGGTTGTTTGCAAGGGACAGAAACAACCGAATGTGTATTAGACAGACTCATTATTTATCCTAGGAAAATCTTTTAGTCGGGTTCAAGGCAATCGAGACTAAAGAGATTGCTTTTTAGTCACGGATTCGTAGTAACAGTTAGAAAACCGAGATTAAAGCCTGTTCTCAACCAGAACTAAAGTCCATATGTCTACTAGTGTAACTACAACTTATTAGAAAAAAAAATTTTTAATTAGTTTAGATTTAGTCTATTATCCAATAACTGATTAAACTTTTAGTTAGGTGGTCCAAACTTACCCTTACACTGTCGACATCAGACCATGGTCATGGTCGTCGTCACGACACTGTCGACATCAGACCAGTTGTCGACTCAGCAGAAGCGGAAAAGAAATATCACGTCATGTTCTATTACACTACTTCAGCCATGCTTTTCAGCGAATAAACAATATTTTTCTCCCATGGCATAAGCCAAATTTCAACATAAACACCAACGTTAGCCAAATTTCAGCATAAACGAACAGGTGCAGAACGACACGTACAAGGAAAGCGAGCACGCCACATCACCCTAGCGCGGACCTGGTCAACTCGTACGCAAGAAGCAGGCATGGCGGCGCCGAACCCCTTGTACAGGCCCTTCACGCCGTCGGCGGCGAGGATCTTCCGGAAGGCGTCACTGGAGCCCGAGTACTTGGGGTTCTTGTAGTCGTCCACATGGATCACGCTCTTGACGACGTCGGTCGGGTACACGGAGCCCCAGGAGGAGGCGCCGGCGAGCCCGCCCGCCAAGATCAGCGACCCACGGCCGAGCTGCGACGTGTCCTGCCCGCGGGCGAGGACCTGCTTGGTCGCCTGTACACGCCGAACATGACGGCGTTGCCGGGGACCTCGCGCGCCAGCGTCGGGAAGAGGCCCTTGAACAGCCCGCGCGTGCCGCCTTCCGACTTGAGCACCTGCTTCGCCACGTTGATCGGGCCGCCGTATTTCACTGCCGCGGTCGGGACGGTCACGGTGGCGGCTGCAGCCGCTGGAGCAGGAGCAGCACTGGCCAAGACGCTCTGGGCTTGCAACCTGACAAGGGATCAAGGATCAGTGCTCTGCAAACAATGGTGTTCAGAATGAAACAAGCAGCAGCAGCAGCAGGGTGTCATAAGCAACTGACCTGAACTTGATGAGCTCGGTGGAACACGCCAGGAACGAGACGGCGACTTCCGCGCCAGCGCCGGCAACGACCTGCTGGCCGACCGTGAAAGGCGCGCCTGGCTCGGAGCGCAGCACGGTCTCCATCTGGCCCCTGACGGTGAAGAGGACGGCGTTGAAGGCGGCCACAGTGGCGAGAGGCGCGCCCATGCCCTTGTACAGGCCGTGGGGCCCCGCGGCGGCCAGCGTCTGCCGGACGGCGTCGGTGGCGCCGGCAGCGTGGGCTGGCTCTGCAGCTTCACCTTGATGGTATCGAACGGGTGGCCCACCACCAGCTGCGCCGCGCCGCCAACCGTGCCGGCCGTCAGGTCCTTGCCCATGTCACCCATCTGCCCTGGGCGCACACGCTTACAAAATTCAGTTGGGTGCTAGTATCTGCCAAAGTAAAAACACTCTACATCAACACCTTATTCTTGTTTCGTGCTCTTATTTATATTATTCAGAAAACACATGACATTCGAATAATTGTAGAAGGTCGCATTCACAGCTGCTTCTAGAAGCACATAAACATTTTCTGATCAGGAGATACGCTATCTGTTCCTCTGTCTTCTTTTGCCTGAACCTAGTACGGAGTACTAACAAACTGAGGTGCTGAACTTTATACCGACGGGAATGCAGAGAGCTCAGAGCAGACATACTTTGCCTTCTTTTTTTCGCGATCGGCGAATATAACCTGTTTTTCATTGAGATGAGTGAATTATACGACACAGCTACGAGAAAACCTCATATATAGCAGATTATAAACCAACGAGCTAGTGGTGAGTGGTCTGAAAAAAAACATAAGAACAAAAAGGAAGAAAGAACGACCGCCCTCAACACCCAAGACCTAGAACTGAGCTCGCAATAAAAGGAATCAACGCAAAGGCTGCTTACAAGCTAGACAAAGCCTTGGTGGCAAAGTATCCACCAAGAGAAGACACATGAGCATCCAGCAGCATCGGCGACAAAGCATCCGCCTGCAAAGACTAAGCGACCATGGCATCCAAGTCCTAGTGAGAATTCATATGAATTTTTAGATAAATGAAACTCTTTTTGCCCTTTTGCATCATCCAGTGCATACAGCCTCTGGTGCTTCTTGTTGCATCATTGACTACCTAATGAAGGTATGAACCTACGGCTTCGCAGCAGAAAATACTATACGAGGGTGGGGAGACTTTTTTTTTTTGGTTATATAACAAGAGAAGAGACAAAGCGAACACGTAGATGTTCAAGCATTGCACAGTATGCCCCGCTACCCGGCGAACCCTCCCTTTCGGCGACGAGCAGTGTCTCACAGATGAGGCGCGTTAGGTTAGGGTTCGGTATCTCTCAAGGCCATTTTGAGGTGAACGAGGTAAACAGATTGAATATCAAAATTTGAAAAGCGAACTATTAAAGGAGGAGAAAATTTTCACGGTCGGTATATCGAAAAATAACAAGATTGATTACTGACGTAAGGAAGATATGATTTTTCAAGCGATTAATATACAGTTTTTTTTTGAAATCTTCAAGACATCAAATGAAAAACTAAGAACTAGAAAGTTGTAATCTCGTTGAGAGCTACAATTTTCATATAAAAAAAGCGTATGAAAAAGATATAATTTTTCTAAGGTTCAGTGGACAAATCCGGACGAATTCGGGATATTCAATTAAAAGTAGAAAAGTAGAAAGTTCAACCGGATAGTATTCCGATTTTCCCAAACCAGTCCTCGGGTCAAAGGAGGGCGATATTTTCTTTCCGTTTTCATCCTTAGGTTCCAGCAATGCCATTTTTCAAAAAATTGGATACAGTTTAAAATAAAATAAAGAAAAATTACAAAAGCTGATTGTGCTACCATCAGACAAATCCGGACTACCGTACTAGTTCAACCGGATCCGCCGAATCCCAAACCAGGCCTGAGGAGGGCGAGCCAGCAATGCCATGCACAACGGAATACAAACACTGGTCTGGCAACGAACAAGGTAATCTGCAAGGGACCAAATCCATACTTGTGCAAGGAGAGGAACCGCGGCGGCGGAGCTAGGCAATGGAAGCGGAGCCGAGGGATGGGTGGTTTTTTTTGACAGGGATGGGTGGTGCACTGGTGCCTCGTCCTCCTCACCCAACGAGACGACTCGACTCCAACTCCACCAAAGTATGAGTGACTGAGGTGGCTTCGCAACCGGAGTGGGCAACTTGACTACTGCTGCTGGCAGTGGTGCCGCTGCTCAGAAGCTTAGACATAACACTGTTAATAACAACACAGTAGATATTTGCAGCGGAAGTGCTGCCTAGAAAGGCGGCCGAACAGGCCAATAATATATACGCCACATGTGCCAGTAGCAAAAGGGAAACGGAATACTAATAATAATGATATATATAGAAAAAAAAAAGAGCGAACAAAATTCAGGCCAAGAAAAGGAGTCAAGGCCAATGTGGGATTGTGGCCTTGTGAGGATAAAAGAGAAGAGACTTTTACCTATAGGCCATTATAAAAGTTTCTAATTCTTTCTCTGCCACAGGAATTTTGGCTGCCCCTCCTTAGTCCCTCGCGCAAACTTTTCTTGTCCTGTGTGCCACTTCCGTTAGTTTAGAGCGTGGCAGCCGGTAACGGAGAGATATAATGACCCTTTTGCCCCTATGTCCAGGCGTCAGGAGCAGAATTTTCCACTTAAGTCCCACGAAAGACACCCCCAGTCTCCAACTCCTCATTTCTCGTCTCTCTCTCGAGCTCTCTCTCTCTCTCTCTCTCTCTCTCTCTCTCTCTCAAAACCCTAGCCGAAGGAACCAAGGCGGCGGCGAGAAAAGGCGGTGATGACCAAGCAGATCTGCACACATGAGGAGGGGGTCTCATGGGGTAGGGATCAAGAGGTTGACCCACTGGATCCAAGGCCGCGTGTAGTAGGGGCCTTGGTTGAGGGTGACCGCGAGATCTAGGGAGTCGCCATGGTGGAGCCGGAGGTGCGCCCGGCGTGGCTTTCAGACAGGTAGGCTATTGTCTTCTTTTTCTCTTGTTGTCCTCCATTGTCATGCACTTAGCCTAATTGTAGGTGCTTAGTTTGTTGCCGTAGATCTGCCTTAATCGATGGGTGTTCGTATGTAGGATGGACCCCAAAACGAGCTACAGATTAGAAATAAGGATTGTTGCGACAAATTCTCGATGCCGTTGGTTTAACATAAGCACAGTTGTAGATGCTGACAACAAATTTCAAGGATTTGGTCGAAGACATTGTGGATAAGTACCCTTGTGGTTATGGTGACATTGTTGACATGTTCTACTACTGTGGTGAAACCAAGTCCAACATCAAAGTCAGCAGTGACCATGATTTAGTTGCTATGTTTTCCAAAAATGCTAGTGCCAAGACCTGCTTGTTGACCTTTGCTTACCATCCTATGGGTACTGATACACCAGTCATTCCACTATGGCATGATTTAGCTGAAATGCCTAACTCCTCTATGCAAGCCTGTAACCTAGCTAAGCCTACACCAGCACCAACCCAAACACAAGCTTCCACTCAAAAACCAGCTTCAACCCAAACTCAAAGCTTCCTCTCAAACGGCAATAACCACTATTGATGACAACTACCTAAACAATCCTGAGCCATAGAATGAGCACGTGGGTGTGGATGAGGAGGGCATGTACCTAGAATTAGAGCAACAGACCAAGGGTACTGATGCATTTGAGGAGGATGTACCTGTTTCTGACTCTGAATATGAATCTGATTCTGATGATGACTATGAGGAGGATGAGGCAGATGAAATGGTCAAAGATAAAGTTCCACTTAGTAATCCTGAAATAGTGTATGACAAAAATGACCCACCAATGATAGTAGGCAGCATCTATGAAAATATGTCTTGTTTTAAGTTGGCTTTGGCTACACATGCAATCAGAAATGAGTTTGAGTTTAACATAGAGAAGAGTGATCTAGGGAGGTACAGGGCCTACTGCAGTGCCAAAATTGATAGATGTAGGTGGAGGATTCATGCATCTACAACTGCAGACAACTTAACAGTGAAGGTGACTCTTGCCATCTTTCTTTTTTTTGTTGATTTACTTATAATTGGTGTGACATATTTGCTGGTGAAGAAGAACCCATATCCTCATGAGTGTCAGAGCACAAGAAGAGGTGGTAAAGTGAAGTGTGCAACCAAGTTTTGGGTTTGTGAAAAGGTAAAGGACTAGGTATTTGAGAATCCTAGGGTGTCAGCTATGGAGCTACAGAAGAGGATCAAGGATCAATTCAAGGTGGTTGTGCCTTACAAGAGAATATATAATGGTAAGGAACTAGCTCATAGCCAAGTATTTGGAGACTGGAAGTCCAGTTTTGACAATCTGTATAGGTTCAAGTTGCAAATTGAGGAATCTTGTCCAGGTAGCTTTGTAGTTATTGATCATCATACCATTAATAACAAGATTAGGTTCAATAGACTGTTCTTTGCCATGAAGCCATGTATTGATGGGTTTCTTCAAGGTTGTAGGCCATACTTGTCAGTTGACAATACATTTCTCACGGGCAAGTTTAGAGGTCAACTATGTGTAGCCTGTGCAGTAGATAGGCACAACTGGATGTATCCAGTTGCAGTTGGAGTCATAGATTCAGAAACAAATGAGAATTGGATATGGTTCATGGAGAGACTGAGAGATGCTATAGGGAGTCCACCAGGTCTGACCTTCTGTACTGATTGTGGTCAAGCAGTGATGGCCGGTGTGAGTGAGGTATTTCCTAATGCAGAGCACAGAGAGTGTATGTGGCATCTTGTTCAAAATTTTAAGAAAAGGTTCCATGGAAAGGTGTTTGATGATCATTTGTGGGCATCATCTTACAGTTGGAACTCATACCTTTTTGAGAAACACTGGTCAGCAATGGCAGCAGCTAAGCCAGCAGCTATGGTTTATCTACAGTAGAACCATAAGAAGCTATGGACCAGAAGTCAATTCGGAGTCACATCTAAGATAGACTATGTCACAAATAATTTAGCTGAGAGCTTCAACAACTAGATCAAAGGTGAAAAAGGCAGGCATTTGGATGACGTGCTTGATACAATCATACATAAGTTATTAATCAAATGGAACCACAGAAGGAAGATTGCAAGGCAGATGCAGGGCAAGATACTTCCACACATTGTGGACAAGCTGAAGGAGCAAAGCAGGAACCTAGATATTGATGTCATAACTAGCGGCGATGGCATTGCAGAGGTGTGTGCAAGAGGAGGATCAAGCTTCAGATATGTTGTGAATTTGGACCAAAGGACTTGCACTTGTAGGGCTTGGCAGGTTTTAGGCCTACCATGTAAGCATGCACTGGCCTACATCACTAGCATAAGTAGAGAGAAAATTGAAGACCATGTGGACAACTACTACTCAGTGCAGAAGTTCAGGTCAGCTTATGAGGGTATCATCCCTGCCATTCTTGATAAGTCCATGTGGCCCAAATCTGATCATGGCTTCTTCATGCATCCACCTCTTCTCAAATCAACTGCTAGTAGAAGGAGGCAGGCAAGGTTCAGAGGAGGTGCTGAAGGTGACAACAAAGGCAATAAAGACAGGCACCAGTGCCCTATTTGCCATGAATATGGGCATCACTGGTACACTTGTAAAGATGGAGATCCTGCAGACATTGCAGCAATGCTTGCTGATAGGTGAGATTCTTTTTTTTAGATTTTTGTGTTAGGTTGTATGTGACATACTTATTAGTACTGACAGTTTGTATTTATCTATTGCAGGGGACCACCTAAAAGGAAGAAGAAAAAGGCAACCCCAGCCTCAACTGAAACAAGCATTGTTCCTATTCCTACCAGAATGGTGTTCCCTGATTTGCCCCCCGGTACAACTGCCACAACTGAAGCAGCTGCTGAAAATAAGAGGAAAACAACAGCAGCAGGTTCTAAGAAATCAAAGAGCTCATCCTCTGTCTCAGCAGCTTCAATCAGGTAGGCTCATGTTCTTGACATTTTCCTTGTACTATAGGTTTATAAGTCAACTAACCCAATACTTTTTTTTGCTTTAGAAGATCTAGAACAGGCTCCAACCAGCCAAAAACTGGAAGCCTGCAGCTTGTGCCTTTGAGCATTTTGTTCTCTGCTAGCCTGGAGCCAGAACCTCAGCATGCCAACATTGCTGACGATATCAACACAACTAAGAACAAAGGAGACCCAAGACAGCAGTGAATAAGAAGTTAGTAGGAAAGCAACACAATGGAGACAGTCCTGCTATGAATACAAGAGCTAAGGTATCTACAACTCCAGATAGTCCTGCTATGGGTACTAGAAGCAAAAGGAAGCTTGACATTTAGTTGTTGTCTGTGGAATGACTCAAAACTCCATATATTTTCTAACTCATGTGGTCTGTCTATTGACCATAACCTGCATTTTATAAGACCAAAAACAGTGGTTTGTGCATGACCAAAACAATGGTCTGATCTATGTCATGACCAAAACAATGGTCTGGTCTATGTCATGACTGGTTTGTGAAATGCTGTTATGGTTTATGGAATTTTCGTAACTGGTTTGTCAAATTTGTTGTTCTGGTTTCTGAATCTATGTAACTGAATGTCAATTAATGACATGCTGCAACTGAGAGAAAATGCATAGCACATTTTATCCGCGTGGCGTCAAGGGCAAGTGGAAAATTCTGCTCATGATGCCTGGTCACAGGGGCAAAAGAGTCATTATATCCTCCGTTACCGGCCGTCACGCTCTAAACTGACGGAAGTGGCACACCGGACTTGAAAATTTTGAGCGAGGGATTGAGAAGAGGTAGCCAAATTTTATGTGGCAAAGATGGAATTAAAAACTTTTATAACGACTGTAGGTAAAAGTCTCAATAGAGAACGCCGAATGCGAGATGACGAGGGTCAACCACCACCACACGCCACAGCCCAACAAAACCACGGGCCACACCAGCACCACCACTCGTCCACTACCACGCCATCGGATCACCGTCGGATGCCCAATCCGCTACAGGCCAACCATTACGACAAGGCATCTCACTCCACATGAGGAACAGACTTTCAATTAAGCTTTGCTTCATTAAAGCAACTCATCATTGAAGTGAAAGTTCTCTCTCCTCTTTTTTCCCCCTAAAAAATGTCTGGCATTGTTCGTGTTGCTCCAGCCGCGCAAGGAGAATGAATAAACGGAAAAGGGGCCATGGCAAAGGCCAGCAGCACCAATCAACCAAGCGCCGATCTCGTGATCTCGTAGGCCACGAACGTCGCGGCATTGGCCGGAACGCTGCGCGCCATGGCGGGTCCGAACCCCTTGTACAGGCCCTTCACCCCATCGGCCGCCACGATCTTCCTCAGCGCGTCGAGGGACCCGGAGTACCTGGGCTTCTTGTAATCGTCTACCTGGATCACGCTCTTCACCACGTCCGTCGGGTACACGGACAGCCAGAAGGCGGCACCTGCGAGGCCACCTGCCAGGATCTGGGAGCCCCTGCCGAGGTTCGACGTGTCCGGGCCGCCGGCCAGGTACTGCTTCGTGGCTTCGTACACGCCGAACATCACTGCATTGCCAGGGACCTCCCGCCCCATCGTCGGAACAAGGCCCTTGAAGAGACCTTTGGCGCCGGCGTCCCGGACGACATGCTTCGCGACATCGATCGGCCCTTTGGGAAGAGACACACCAGAAGCGGCAGCTGCCTCGGCTAAGGAACTCTGGGCTTGCAACCTGTAAAGCAAGGAGGGGATAGATTCGAAGCAGTAAAGCGAGGGGAAACAGCTTAGTGGAATGCACAAAAGATGGCTACAAGACTGTTTTACATAAGTATAGCTTGTAGGAAATTCTTTGCAAACAGGAAAACTGTTTTCATTGACACAATAACTTTTCAGCAGCCCAATTTTTTGGGATTTGGTAAATAGCACTACAAGTCATGCAGGAAATTAACGTTAACAGGCTTATTCACATGGAGGATACAGGATACAATAGCATTAATCTAGTGCAGTTAGCCATCATATGTTGCAAGTGACATGAACTGCGAAAGCACATGGAATGCATGGCAAATAGTATCTTACATGTATGATTTCTAGCATCTGCAGGAACCAGGAATGCGAATTCCATAAAGAACAAATATCAGGACTTTACCACATTGATTCCAATTAGACACTAAAATAAAGAGTATAAATGAGAAAAATCCCTAACATGATAACAAGTAGGATGGACCAAGAAAACACTGTCCTTTTTCAAAATATTTCTCAAAGAACGTAAGATGCAAAACAGGTGATAGCATAACCCATGCATGTAATTCGGATCATAACCAATTCCACATGACTATTTCTATCACTGCATTTTTTGAAAAGATTTCAGGAGAGAACACACAATTGATGACAGCACAACCCTCTGAATATAGTTTGAATCACCATGCATTTTACATGAGTCTGACTAGCGGGAGTTTTATGTGCACACTGAAACAAAAAAGAGCAGAAATCATTTTAGTTTGTGTTGACACTTGACACTAGACACATATTTTTTTTCCACGGTTCAATCAGTCTTATGGCATTTGGATTAGAGCATTACTGACAGCAGGTGTTTATGCTGAATTGTTAATGCAAATAACCATAATATGGTGCAAGTGGGCTAAATTGAGAAACACTGAAAGGCATAGCAATTTAGGCACAATGTGTAACATATGAAGGAAAGTGCATTTTACAAAGGACAAATATCATCATGTATTGTACATTAATTTATTTTCAAGGAACTTCATTTCTGAGCTGAACAGATAAGCAATGCAGGAATTTCATTTTCACAAAAACACAAGGAAATTTTCAGTTGTTTAATCTTAAGCCACATAGGAAATTCTTTATAGGATTGCTTAATGGAGGATATTGTAGCATAAATCTAATATCATATGATGCAAGTGAGAATTTAGTATCTGACATGCATGATGACTAACATCTGCAGGAAAGTGCATTTCATTGAAGGACAACCATGTTTGCCACATGAATTCCATGTTATTAGCATGTAAAAGTCCACCTACTGAACAATAATGATGAAAAATTGGCCTGACTCCACTGACCTGCACTTGATCAGTTCTGTTGGACACGCCAAGAAGGAGACTGCGATTCCAGCACCAGCGCCCGCAACAACCTGCTGCTTCACAGTCAGTGGCGCACCAGGCTCTGACCTCAGAAGGGCCTCCATCTGCCCCCTCACACTGAACAAGACAGCATTGAAGGCCGCAACGGTGGCCAGAGGTGCCCCCATCCCCTTGTACAAGCCCCTTGGGCCTTCAGCCGCGACCGTCTGTTTCACGGCATCGATGGCGCCAGCATACTTGGGGAGCTGTCCGGGAGCAGGGGTAGGCTGGCTCTGGAGCTTGACCTTGATGGTGTCGAACGGGTGCCCGACGATGAGGTTGGCAACCCCTCCCGCGGTCCCAGCCAGTCAAGTCCTTCGCAACGTCCCCCATCTGCTAAATGCAACAAGATTCAGTTCAGTTTGCAATGAACTATGAGAAAACTACAAGCGACTTATTTTTCTCAATGTAAGTAAAGGTTCACAGCAAAATTTTGCATCAAACACCGGGTTATCTGGTCTGGATGAAAAATTCAGAATGAGCCGAGGAAGCAAAATACCAATCAATTTGACGGGTTAAAAAAACCTACATCACCATGGTATTATTGGTCCTTTTACAACAAGACAGGTAAGCTGGGCAAAGCTCAGAAATGTACAGTGTGGCAGTCGTCAATGGACACCGTGGTATGGTTGACACTTTTACAGAATATATATAAGGGGTACAGAACCCTTGATGGAGAAGGTGAACAAGCGCTGTGAACCATGAGAATCCCCATGATCCAATCATGCACATGACATGATGTGCCATCAAGGTTGAGGACACCCGCTTTCTTCAGACAGAAGGCTTGAAAGCCGCGGCGTCGAAAACCTCACTAAACACACCAAATCCCAATTAGAGACACCTACATACGGCGCAGTGAATCGCAGGCGGGCTCTGTTGGCGTCGCAAACAGAAGCCGTAGCAGGGCACCGCACGGCCACACACACAGTAAATCGCTGAGATGAGACGATCACACAGACAAATCGGCAAAGCGTGCAGCAGACTCAGCGCAGGCCCAGATATGACGCACGAGCGCGCGCAGAGCGGGGAACGATACGAGAGGGAGACCCTAACCAAGCAACCCGATGAGCAATGCGGCGAGACGAGGAGGGCGGCGGAGGAGGAGCGGCTCACCTTGGTTGGGGTTGGGACCGGTGCCGGGGGGGGCGGCGGGGGCGCCGCCGCCTCCGCTGCCTTGGACTCTGGCTTGATCCGATTCGAATCGCGGGTGGCCGGGTGCTGATTGATGTGCCCTCCTGATTGATCGATTTATCGGAGGAGGAGCGGCTCACCTTGGTTGGGGTTGGGACCGGTGCCGGGGCCGCCGCCGCCGCCTCCGCTGCCTTGGACTCTGGCTTGATCCGATTCGAATCGCGGGTGGCCGGGTGCTGATTGATGTGCCCTCCTGATTGATCGATTTATCGATTGCCCGAATTGGTCGCAGGCGTGGGTGGGAGTGGCCGAGTGGGGACGGCTGGTTGGTTCACGGGGGCCATTCTGCAGGCCGGCGGGTGGGCGAGCCGGAGTATACAGGGCCCTTGTCCAAAAGTGTACTACGTAAAAAAAAAAGATTTTTCGTTACATTAAACTAGTAGTATATGCATAGAGTATTAGATATAGACAAAATAAAAAACTAATTACACAATTTGCTTTAACTTTACGAGACGAATCTTTTGAGCCTAATTAGTCAATATTTGAACAATAATTCACAAATACAAACAAAAAACTACAGTGAAGAATCTTTTACTGTGCAAAGTTTGCACCTCTAAAGTTTGGTCGAACTAAACACAGCCAGGGTGTGTTTGGGTCGCATCTAAATTCAGGGACTAAATTGAAGGTGTTACATCATGTGTCGTATAAAGGTGATAGGGGGAGTATTTGGATAGTAAGTAATGTACGAGATGGATTTATTAAGCATAATTAATCTATTATTAACATATGTTATTGTAACACCACATTGTCAAATCATGGACTAATTATGCTTAAAAAAATCGTCTCGCAAAGTAGTCGCAATCTATGCAATTAGTTTTTTTTTATTTATATTTAATACTCCATATATATACAAATATACGACGTGATAAGGGACTAAATTTTTTAGGGAAAAGAACTAAATAAGGCCTTGGTTGTGTGGCTAAGTCCTAACCGGGCCCATATTTGTGCTGTTTGGTTGTCTATTTTGAGTATGAAGTCAGACTCCAGAAGCCACCCACCACCTTTTAGCCGGGCTCCAGAAAAACGCAGTGGAGGTCGTTTTCTGGGAACAGGCTTGGCTTAGCCGGTTGCTCGTTCTTGTCACCTCCCTCACCCGTGCTCACCCAGCGACGGAACCACCGGCGGCGGCCCTACTCACCTCTGCGCTCGCCGTCCTCCTTGTCCTTGGCGGCCAGGTCATGCTCCTCCTCCTCTCCCGCCGTCGGAGAAGGTGCTGCAGCAGTACCTTGGGAAGCAACTCGTCCCGCGCTCCGGCAGCCTGCGCCCCCGTGGGGAGGCACTGGCGCCGCTCATCGAGGGGGCCGACGCCGAGTGCCTCGCCGCCGGTGACCCCGACGCCGAGGACTCCGGCCGCCGCGAGGGGTTCGGCAATGGGTCTCATGCATGCCAGATGACGCCAAGACGCCGTCCATGGCCTCCTCTCTGCAAGTTGGCGGTGGTGGTGGTCCCGGTGGTCCAATGGCTCATTCAGGCGATCCGACTGCTAGCCTGCTTCGCACCCATCCCGTCCATGTCGGCCGAGCAAAAAAAAGATATGATTTTTCTAAGATATATTAATCATATCAAATCATATTTTTTTACGGAATTAAATGAAGATAATTTTTATATGAAAATTATAGATCTTAACGAGATTTATAACTTTCTAGTTTTGAGTTTTTCATTTGAAGTCGTTAAGATGCTAAAAAAATTAATGACATATTTAGACTTAAGGGTATTTTTGTCTTTTCACATTTGCAGCTTGATGGCGTTAGAGGCCAAACTGACGGCAGTGGCATGGAGGACACAAAAAAATTAGAGTAGTGACGTTGAAGATCGCTGAACTTTTCCAAAGACACACAGAGCATTACGTCCCTGGAGAAAGGAAACCAAACGACCCAGCAGGGCTGTGGGACCTGCGGACAGGAGAATGGGGACGGCCATCGGTAAAGCCTACCGCTACGACTACGACAGTCGACAGGCACTTCACCTTCACCAACCGGCGATGCGACCAATCCAACACGTTTCTTCGGGTCTGTTTGGGATGGCACGGACCTCTCTCTTTCCGAGACGCATAGTACGGTGTTCAGCCCGATCCAAAGCATCAAGCAGGAGCCAACCTCTGATCCGGGGGTTGGTGGGCGAATGGGTGGATGGATGCGGACAGGAAAATGGCCTATGTCCATCCCAAAGTACCACATGCCCTCACGTCTCAGCTGATCAAACAAAGTCTTGCTTCCTCCTGATACCGGTGCCGGAGCGCCACCGGGTAGGTAGGCTGCCCACAAGTGAACGAAACAGACTCGTTTTCTGTACGTTCAGCCGCAGCAGCGCCTGCAACTGCAATGCCGCGCACGTGATTTGTACACGCGATGAGATCGCACATGGAGAAACCGACAAAGACAGCATGGCGCCAGGAATCAGTGCCCGATTTGGTTGGCCAACTCGCTCGGCAGTGCCTCTTTGCCAATCCAGCCGGAGAACCCACCGCACCGTACCAGCTACCAGGCCATTAATCCATTTGCGTGATATATGATTATCCCTCTTCCGTTCCCCCAAATGGGTGGCGTTTGGTGTGGCTTCGAGTTCGCTGCCTTTCCTTACTTTGTTGGTTCACACAAGTGCATGCCGCCGCACGCCACACACTCCACTACGGCACTACGCACGCCACACACTCCACTATGCAGGATATAAAGGTTCTAAAAAGCTTGGCATTCGAAAGAAGAGGAAGACACAGACACACACACACACACACACGAGCGAGCGAGAGAGAGAGAGAGAGAGAGAGATGGGTTATAAACTGGCTACACAGCATGGAAGCGACGCAATTTGATCTCAACACAAGAAATCCGCAGGCAAGGAACGGTTCAAGGTTCATGAAGGGGAAACTAGCCTGAGTGATCAACATGCACCAAAGCACTTACAAGATAATCTCCGGCGTCCGGCCACACAAACGTTCGATCTATTATTCGAAGTGTGGCAGCACGCCAGCAACCACAAACCAAAAACAATAAACTCCATATCACATCAGCTTTAGTTTACTAAAGTATCAGCTGGAACCTAATGCTGATGCACACTATAGATATATGGCGAATCAGAATATCAGACGGTGCACACCAAGTCAGTCACCAGTCACCACCGCAAGTCCGCAACACAAAGCCACCAAACGCAGAGCCAAGTTCCACTAACTTGCAATACGAGGGAAGCGGTGGTGTGTCAATACTGAACCGGCAGTGCAGACTGACGACTAGGGAAGGGCTAGTTTGGATGCACCCGTTCTAGGTGGAATTGGACGGGATTAAAAGGAAAATCTATTTTTTTCTCAATCCCCTTCAATTCCAATGAGAAATGATTGATCCAACTAGCTCTAAAAGAACAGAGCGCCATCGCATACCTAGATGACAATATAATAGCTATTGGGGTGTAATAATATGCTAATGAACAAAAGTAGAGACAATGTAATAGCTATTGGGGTGTAATGTGCTACTTCGAAGGACAAGAGAGGAGATCTGTGCTCTTTGTGTACTCACGTCAACGGCATTACTACCAACGTCTAAACGTTATCACAGTTGGCAACAGAGACGTCTATCCTTGGCAGTGCTTCTAAAAATCGTGACTTCCTCAACCTCGAATTATAACTCCTAGCGGTGTGACGATCTCATTTCACCATCGTTGACGGTCTTTGACTCAAATAACTTGACCACCAATATTTTTATAAAACAACATTTAATTTTATATCTTTGTAAACTAGAGTTCCACTAATAAATTCCATAAGTTTTAATGGCGCTGAGTTGTTTGCATGATATGCCAAAAGTGCACATTAAAGATAATATATGGAGTACTTGCAACAACGGTAATGACGGCCGACGCCGACTCCCTCCGGAAGGACATGTGGCGTGATGTGTGTTGATACTTCTTAACGACTAGTGGAGGAATTCCGTAAGCGCACAGAACTATCACGTAGCACTTTGTTCTGTGAGTACCGAGTGTCCAATTTATATTTTTCCCACGGGAAGACGGAAGGCTAAGTTTATATTTTTAGTTAGGATTGCTAAGATAAAGCCTAAGTGTATCCTAGGTAGGTGAACGATAATGGTGGGTTGAGTGTGAACTACCTAAACAAACTAAATAACAAGCTACACTAGAGATACCTAGGTGGGAGAGCGAGTGATATATCTTTCAGTAACAAAGGGTAAACTAATGATTAGGAGAAATGCGCTAGTACTTCAAGGCACAACCAGCCTATCAAATAGGAGAGTTAAATAGATAAGGTCTGCCACGAGCCCTATGATTTAATAACTAGACCTATCGTGGTGGAATATAGAGGATGGACAAGGTTGTTACCACTTGCCAACTACCACAATCTATCCGGAGGTCTACCCGTATTCACAGGTAATCTATAGCCTAAGCACCTCGCTTAATCTATAGGCTTACTACTTCGATCCAAGCTCCAATAAAATGAGATCAAAACACCCTAACCAGACGGTGGAATCGATACTAACGAAAGACTGCTAACTAAAAGATAACTTATGCTACTAATGCCAAGCAATAAGCACCTAAGCTCACTAATGATGAACAATAATGAACTAGTACTTAAGCAAAGCAAAAGCAATAATACTAAATAAAGTACTGAATAAAGTAAATGCTAAATGAAAGAATTACAAAAGAGCTATATCAGACCTAGAAGACTCTTCCAGACTCCGAGAGAAGCTCTGTTTTTGCTCTGCTCCACTACTAGACTACTTCTATTACTAAGCTACTAAGCTAGAGAGCTTGGAGAAGCTTTTGAGAGCCTGGAATTGAATGGGGCATTGCTCCATCGAGCTCCACATCCCATATTTATAGTGTAGAGAGGCATGGGGGTACTTGTAGGTAGCAGGAGGTCGGTCGGATGCCTTGTTGAAAGCTCTAGTTTGGTTTTGGTGAATTGATGAAACCCTAAGTGCTAACCTAGTTTATCAAAGTGATCATGAGATAGGTAGCACATTCCAAGTGGTGAAGCAAATAAAGATCATTACATGATGATTGTGATGCCATGGTGATGATCAAGTGCTTGGACTTGAAAAGAAGAAAGAGAAAAACAAAAGGCTCAAGGCAAAGGTATAAGCGGTAGGAGCCATTTCATTTCGGTGATCAAGACACTTAGCGAGTGTGATCACATTTAGGTTCGATAGTCGTACTATTAAGAGGGGTGAAACTCGTATCGAAATACAGTTATCAAAGTGCCACCAGATGCTCTAACTCATTGCATATGTATTTAGAATCTAGTGGAGTGCTAACACCCTTGAAAATGTTTATGAAAATATGCTAACACACATGCACAAAGGTGATACAAATTGTGTTTAGCACTTGGGAGCAAAGGTTCGAAACTTCACCGGTAGAGTGCGGACAGTCCGACGTTGCCACCGGCGCCCTGTACAGAAAAGATAGAGTTTCACAGAGTGCACCGGACGCTAGCCTCAACTAGACCAGTGCGTCCGGTCAGTGGAAGCCATGAAGACGCTGGCGTCGGTCTTCGACCAGACACTGGGTCACTTCTTGACCGGACGCGTGATGGGTGCGTCCGGTCCCGCTGATGTGGCAGCACAGAGAAGAAGAGAAAGGACCGGACGTTGGTGTTGCGTCCGATCGTGACCGACCGAATGCGTTCGGTCGCTAATTTCCACCTCTGGAACCTTACTGGAAGTGACCGGACGCTGGGGTCCTATGTCCGATCGTGATCAAACTGACGTGTCCGATCACAAATGGAAGCTTACTAGAAGTGACCGGACGCTGGAGTCTTGTGTCCGATCCTACACTGTAGTGCGTCCGGTCACAACTTAAATGTACTGATGACCGTTGAGATTGGGCGATTAGCGTTTAAAGCTGGGGACACGTGGTGTGCATCGCGTGACCGGATGCTGGGGTCCTACGTCCGGTCGCCTCGATTTTCAGTGGACTAAGGAGCCAACGGCTCTATTTCGTGGGGACTTCTATTTTAGCCCCAAGGCCGGCTCAAGCTCACTCTCTTGGCCATTTGCATTGACATAGCAACCTTGTGAGCTTAGCCAAAGCCCTCTTATTCATCTCCATCATTGATTCATCATCTTTGTGAGATTGGGAGTGAATTCAAGTGTATTGCTTGAGTGTTTGCATCTAGAGGCACTTGGTGTTCGTGTTTCACTGCAGGATTCGCTTGTTACTCTTAGTGGTTGCCGCCACCTAGATGGCTTGGAGCAGCAAGGATCATCGAGCGGAGGTTGGTGATTGTCTTCGGCTCCGATCATGGTGATTGTGAGGGGTTCTTGACCTTTCCCTGGTGGAGAGCCAAAAGATACTCTAGTAAATTGCTTGTGGCTTGTGTGATCCTCATCTTGTGTTGGTTGTGCGGCACCCTATTGAGGGTTTGGTGTGTGATGCCAATTA